CATTAGCACCTCTAGTAATATATTTACTGAGAAAAATGGTGACGTGTTCAATACTTATTTTACCCGCTGTATATTGCTAAGACAAGTAGTCCTTATGGGGACCAAAGAAGGGTCCTAATATGGTGGAACTACATTTTTGGTTTGGGGGTTAGGTTTAGGACTAAAGTGTAAATTGAGTTTAGGTTAAAAACAGAATTCCATGAACGGTCCTAATAAGGATATAAATACAAATTTATGTGTTATTTTATAATAAAAATTCTCTCTTCATGTACTTTTATCAGTGTTGAACTGCAGACGTGGATGAAAACTGTTAAAACGTTTCATATAAAATCTTTTCCACACAGTCCAGATGACTTTTTTTTGTAGGAAACATACAGTAGCATCAGTTTGTGATGCAGACAGCAATTTCTTCACAGTTTCTCAGGGGAAATTTGTTTTGTAACAGTCACATTATTGAGATATAAGCAATCATCTCCACAGTCGTCTTGTAAACCAGCAGCAGGTTGCACCAGATTGTGTGAAGATGAGGGAGGAAGGAAGCAGAGCTTTGCACGTTTAGAAAATCTGCCGTTTCTGCAAGGAGACCAAAGCATCCGTGTCTAAAACACTGAATCTGTCGGCAAACGTTGCCTCATTCAATATTTTTGTCATTCTCTTAAGTTCAGTTCTCACAGATTTGTGCTTCCAAACATTTGCTCAAGGGTCTTTGTTTTGTTCTTTGAGATTCTTGAGTAAAGGTTGCTGCAACTCCACCATGTTCTGTCAACATTGAGGGCTTTTTTATGTGATGTCACTGGAAGCTTCCTTTAATTGCTTTTTTTACTTCTCAGGAAATGCTAAAATAGCAATCTGTGGACATTTTTAATGTTTCATTTCTTCTCTTGTGCTGAAAACTCACAAAAAAATGTTGAATGACAGTTTGCACAGCTCTCTCAATGTGGTTGAGCTTCATGAACCACAATATGGTTTCAGAAATAAATTGTTTTGTGCAAATTTATGTTAGGTTTGAATTTAAAGGAGTAGTTCAGTTTCCAGGTGGGATCTTTTTACTTGAAATAAAAACACAGTGGGGGTTTCTTTCATTTTTTTAAAATGAAAGTTTCCTTGTGGGGATATTTGTCAGGCTGTGGGAGCTTTGTATTCGCTCGCGCAGCTCTTCCAGGAAGTGCTGCTGAACATGTGAGATAATCTCCTTTGGCCATTCTCACAACACTAAGTTACCATATTTAGATTTTTCTGCAACCGGTTAGGTACATTTTACTGTCACTGATGTGGTGGGACGACATGGTCCCCACTCACTTCTCGGATGTGAGCCCAGCCACCTCTGAACCACAGACCACCTGAATCATTACAGTTCTCACGGCACGGTGGGGTGTGTGGATGAAATGAGTGTAGATCAGACAGAAACCCACAGAAGCGTCTTAAACATTTTCACCTTTTCCTTACTGACCTGTACAATGAAGGGGATGTCTGTCAGCGGTATCGCCTGCAGATCCATGAGGTCTAATTACAACAGAAGCTGATTGTTTTCTGCAGGCGTCCTGGCAGCTCTGGTTACCAGCTCAGGCTCTTATCTGCAAACACAGGCTGACACCAGGCTTGTTGCCTGTTTGGAAATGATAAGATAGACGGGAACATAAAGGAACAGCTTGGTGTTTTTAAAAATTAGGTCAGATTTTTTTATTGATTCTGTGGAAAGGCTACGAGTAATTAACATCTTACCTGTTGCAGATGTGACAGAGTTTATTTCTGAACAGACTGACAAGTTTAAAACATGTTGGTGACTGAAATACATCACAGCTTTGTTTCACATCCCGAGACGATTTGGTTCTTTTTTTTTTAAATATCTTTAAGTTTTCCTCAGCATCCCTCTGATCTGTAGGTGTCTCCTCATTCTGACCACGTTAGCTGTTTCAAATTATTGTCTTTAAAAGGTCCAGAGCTGCCTGAGGCTTTTCTGCAGGATATATACAGCATCCTTACAGAGATATGTAGACAGTATTTAAAAGGTACTTATGCAGGACAAGAAAGGGGAATAACAGAATTTTTAGTCAGTATGGAGGGGATAATAAATACAGGAGGTACTTATTAAGTATTTATTGAGGTAACGGGTATCTTTGGGGGTTCTTGTAAAGTACATTTGAGAACTGGGCTGTTTTATGAAGTTGTTACGTTGTATTAGGGTTTATGCCTGACTTTTCTGTTCAGAGTCAAAAACTGAAATGAGATTTTTGAAAATTTGTTTGTTTTTTCCTCTTCAACAAACAATTCTGGTAACTTTGTTATAAAACATCACAAGAAGGAGATTATATTAAAATCTTTGACTTTGGTCAATCCTAAACTTTAATTAAGTCAGAATCTGAGATGACAAAGACTAGAATAGTATGTTTACATTTAATAAATGATTTATAATAACTGTGGAAGAAGCAGCTGTGAGTCATTTGATGACGTGGTGTAAAAAAAACAACGTGTGAACCAGCAGAAAAATCTTACATTTCAGAGTAACGAACAAGATGATGTAAATCTGGAGCAGGGGATGAAAAAAGGGGGAAGTTGAATAATTTTATTCTGAGTCGACATCATGATGACACCCTGTAAATCTGAACAGATTTTCTTTCTTTTTTTAAATAACCCCAAGCTGTTTGGTTGTGATGACTGAATGCTTTGATGGTAAGAAATCCAATTTTAGAAACTTTTTATTTAATAAAAAGACGTCCTGATGCATCTCAGTAATCCAGGTAAGAAATCAAAAAGAAAAAAAATAGTATAGGTCTTCTGGATGGGTTCTTCTCTAATGAAACGTTTCGTCTCTCCTCCAAGAGACTTCTTCAGTCTGAGAGTTTCAGGCAAAATTCAGGCTTTTAAGCACTTTTAAGCAAACCCCAAAACACATTACGGTAAAGGCTGGTTCACCCCAAAGATCCGTTGCCCCGGCACAAAC